TAAAATTTGATAGGTGGAGGAAGGGGTAGGTAAAAGAAATGAGAAAGATCTGGCGGGGATCTGGAAAGATAGGATAATGGTGGGCATAGTACAATGATTATATTAGAAAACATAATGGAAATGAATGTATGAAACCCAGTGTATATGAGCTTTGTAAGCAAACCAATATAAAAATAAAATCTTGAAGCAGACAAAGTAAAAGGTGGATCCAATGCTAAATTTCTTTTTATGGTCTAGTGACGTACCTGGTAGGGAGTTGCCCTTCTGATCAAAGGCCGCGCTTCTTGGGCAGTTCAAATCCACCAGTCACTTCTGGGAGAGAGATGAGTAGTCTCCTCCCGTGCTTTCTACAGGCTCTGAAAACTTGCTGGAGGGTCAGTAATGAGTAGGTTCTGACTCAATGGCAATGAGTTTATTTTCCCAGTAGAAAAATTTGGGAGCTCAGGTGGAGTTGTGCTGTAGACCCAAAGGTCAAGGCTCTCAGGTGGTTCTAACTGGACACTGGCTTAGTAAGAGAAAAGTGGGCAATCTCCTGTGTCAGAAACCCTGTTCAGGGTCAGCTGTGAGTGGATTCTGGTTTGCTGGCAATGAGTTTTAAATTTTGTTGATTGCAAAAGTTATGTATGTTCATTATAGCCATTTCTGAAAAGCCCAGAGAAGAAATAGACATTTAAATGTCTTAATCTCACCATCCAGATCCAGTGAAAACTGCTATTACTATTTTAATTCATTATCTTCTAGATATTCACCTGTGTTTTTATGTATATAATAAAATGTCATTTGTATTTACATAGTATTTTTTTTTTACTCTGTGTGGTTTTTCTTTCTTTAACTTGAAATTTCCTCATGCTTTCTAAAAACTGTCTAAAGCATGGTTAAATACTCTTCTTGCCTACTTTCCATGATGTTTCAGTTATTGAACATTTAAATTGCTTCTTTCTCTCTCTTTTTTTTTTCTTCTCTCTCTTTTGAAGTAAATGCTTCTGAATATACCCTCTAATTATGTGTCTGTTTTTTTTGTCTTTTGAGTAGCCCATAAACATGGATTTCATGGTCAAAGTGTATGCACATTACTAAAATTTTTATACAAGTCTTACTAATAATTATCTTCCAGAAAAGTATTCATTTATTTTTATCTGGAGTTGAACTACTCCTGTTTGATAGGAAAAGAGAATGCTTTTTGATATTTTAATCTGTATTTCCTTGACTGCTCTGGTCACATAATTTTATGGGATAGCCAGTTGTCATTTCTGAGTTACTACTTTGACACAGTGACTATACCGAAGGATTCAAGCAAGTCAAGATGGTGAGGATGGTGCAGGCTAGGGGAGTAAGGCTCAGATCTGTGGTTCATAGGGCTGTAGTCTATGTGATGGCACCTAACAACATCTTACTGGTAGGCCTATTTGTAAAAGTAAAGAGCTTTACATTTTAAGATAGGAGATAGTTTTAATCATTTCTGCTGATGATCTTGAAAATTCTGTTTTTATGAAAACTATAATGATATTTACCTCTCTAGTCTGTTTTCCTGATTTAGAAATTTGTCTAACCCACCATTGTGAAAGTCAGATTAAATCTTGAAGACTTAATATTTAAATCTCTTTATTTTAAAAGCTAGCTTCAAATTGCTGTAAATTGCTCCTGTGGAGCAGCTGGTGGATTTGAACTGGATGCTTCTGGGTTGACATTGAAAACTCTTTACTACTAAGTCACCAGAGTTCCCTCCTTATAAATGTGTAGTCTTCTAGATGAATACTTAAAAATGATAAAATTTTTTGAAGGTAATTTTAAAAATAAATATAAAGTATTTACTGTATTGTAATAACATAAATAATAACATATAATAACATACATAATACATAAAATATTACTTATATAATGCATGCGGATTGAAAAATTAGAGTCAAATAATAATTTAGGTGAGCAACAACCAAAAGAATATTCTTCAATTTATAGAGTACATTGCTTGTTTTATTGTGTTGCTTGACTTTCTTTTGACCACATAGATTTTATTCCTTGGTATCATATTCAGGATTAAGTAAGAGATATATAGAATGAGTTCCAGAAATCTAAGCTTATATTTACCTTAAAAATTAATCATTACAACACAACCTTTTTGTAAGTTGGGACTTTTTTAGTATGTACTTGGGGAAATCTCGGAATACAGGCGCTCCTTCCATAAGGAACCCTAGTGAAATAGTAAATTATAGGCTGCTAACCAAAAGGTTGGTGGTTCAAATCCACCAATAAGTCTGCAGGTGGCATGTTTGGTAAAGCATAGTGTATACATTATTTGTGGGAAAATCATGGTAGCATATAAGTCTTTGGTCTGTGCATATATTAACTGTGATCCAATATAAAATTGAACAGAAGTACAACATTTAGTCATTTAAAATTTATAGTTGTTGACTAAATTTTTTTAAATTAGATGAACTCATTTATGTGACACTTTGAATTAGGCAGAAGAAGACACATGCGAATATGTAAAAAGAAGCACATTCTCATGCTACTTTAAAAATAACATAGCAGTGGCCAAACATAATGGATTCCAGGATTTAAGGGTGGAAAACCTATACAGAAAAATTTCACTCTTCCAGCTTCACTGAATCCAGTACTAAATGTGCTTCCCTATATTCTTCCAAGTCTCTCACTTTTTAATAACTGCTCACGGTCGACATATGCAGCCTGCAACCTGTACTGGCAAGCTAGGATCATCATCCAGACTCTTGCATCTCTGCCTGCTTTTTAATGGCATCATTTCCACCATCTTCAGCCTTGATTTTTTTTTTTCAATCTTTTCTTATTTTTGTTTAGCTGCTTTTTCTTTTTTTTCTTTTTTAGCTGCTTTTTCATACATCACTTTTTCTTTGACCAGTCACCTGACTACACCAGTTTTGGTCTTGATTTGTCTCATGCGAGGATCAGACATGGTCTGTCAAGTCCTGCGAGAAGGAGGGGCTGCATCATTTTATTAAAGTTTAATTGTTGTTTATTTTTCATTATCTTTGGACAACAATTTCAAAAGAGGATAAAAGGAAATATCTTTTGCTAATAGCTTGCTTTAACTTCTGTTTAATAGCCAAACCATTTCTTTAACATTGACTATGCTACCCAAACTATTATGTATAATAAAAATTCTTCTTAATAGTAGTAATCATACTGATTTTTAGAACTTGTAATTTCTTCCTCTCCAGCTCTTTCTCTGTTAATTAGGTGACTGTGACCCAACTTGTTATGAAAACTTTTATTAAAGGGTATCAGGATGGGGAGGAGGGCGTAGCTGATATATTCAAAATTTCCATGTTTATGAAACATGCAATGATTGTTGAGGTAATTTGTGTAGACACATCCTTTTTTTATAATCGTGTTTACCCAAAATTACTCAGAGTGATTTGTACTGTTGTATTTTGTTATACTCTTAATGAGTGGAGAGCCTTTCTTATCTATTTTAGTTTCTAGTGTTCCAGAAATGTCTCTAATAGCAAGTGGACCATCAGTGAGTCTGCTTATCTAGCTGTCACAGTTTAATACCTTTTACTTTTTAGAATATTTTGAATACGGAAATGAATAAAACACAACCAAACATAATGAAGATCACTATCACAGAACCATGCACTTAACTGCCTAGGAAAGGAACTATTCCTTTGCTTCTTAGTCACATAAATCTAATTTTACACATTATATTTTGTTATCTGATTTCCCCTGGGAAGCTTGAGTTCTTCTGTGGGTTACAATTAATTCAGACCAGGAAACAAGCAGCAAACAAGGATAGCAACTAGAAATAATAAAAGGTAAACTTTTACAGTAGAGCTTTAGGAGATAAAAGCAAAAAACAAAGTATCTATAAGGAAAGAAGGGAAAACCCCAACTGTATAAACCAAGACACTGGGAATTAAGTGAATTGACACGTTGAGTCTTATATTCTTATAGTAGCATTGAACTCTTAGAGTACATATATTAATTGATAATATATCCTGCAACAACATTGAGACTACGTTCAGAATTCTTCATTTAATAAGATGAGTGGAGTGTGAGATATATTAGAATAAACTTTTTCAGAATTAATTACATTTAGGTGGTTTCCAGTTCAGAACTTAATATGATTTGAGTGGTTGTCAGTTATCTAAAAGTCTTATGTATGTCAGAATATCTGTTTTTCTAACCACATATCTGCTGAATTGGGGTTAGGGAGGTGGGGGAGGGAGGGTTCCTTTTATTTGAGTAGATGAGCAAGTGCTATTGTTTATTTCTGACTATCAAATTATTCACCTTTAAATGGAATTCCTTCAGGTTATTAACTTCACAGTGATTTGAATTTTTTGTAGATACCATAGGAAAAAAGATTTTTTCTGAAGTAAAAATCTTTTTTTCATTTTAATAGTCTATGGATTATGCCATGAGAGCTTAGAGGGGAGAAAATCTCAAGACAGTTAAAATTTAATGTAATTATGAGCAAAAACAACATTAGCATTTGTTTTGTTCTTTGATATTTTACAATAAAATGCAATTCAATTGGTATTATTTTCAAGTAAATGAATGTTAGCATTTTGTATTCCATTTTGGTGTTTAGGGTTGTTCCTCCTGACCCTGTAATGGGTTTATCTATATTCATTGAAACTTAATCACTTTATTTTTCCTAGGAAAATAGAGTAGAAAAGTCCATCCTGTCTTCTGTTTGCCTGCTAATCGGTTTCCAGATGCTTAGCATTAGGGTGACAATTCTTGTTGAAACTGCTGATATGTATGTCTTCGGTTTATAAATTAAGTAAAAAGACATTACATTTGTACTAAAAAATAAATGTTTTATTAAAAGAACTTATATTAAGGACACTTTAAAACAGACGAGTGAGCAGTGATTTTAAGCTATCATTGTCTTAGAGGCCAAGAGAAGAGGTGTAGTTTCGTATTTCATTTATTAAAGGTTCATAATTGGAAAATATTAACTATTGTAATTCTTTAACTGTTAACTAGTTGTATTATTTTTGTGTCCTGGGGTGTAGGTGGCGATAAAAATAATAGATAAATCCCAGCTGGATGCCGTAAACCTTGAGAAAATCTACCGAGAAGTACAAATAATGAAAATGTTAGACCATCCGCACATAATCAAACTTTATCAGGTATGAAGCCTTGTTCTTCTCCATGCTTTTCACATTCTTCATGTCACAATTTGCAACATCATACTTCTCTTTTACGTCACTTTTTAGTCTGTAAATGAAGGCATTAAACATTATTAAGTAAAATCAAGAAGTAAAAAAGTCTTAAAAAAAGGGAAAAAACTATTTGTAGTTTGATTTTAACTTGTCACTGGAGTTGGTAAGTTCTTTATTTTAAAAGTTTCGTTTGTGAATCTTTGATACCCTGCTTGTGCCCTGGATTTTAGTGATCATTCATTTGAAGCTATTTTACTTATTTAAAATTTATATTGTTTGTGCTTTATGAAATATAAAAACTAAATTATTTTTACTAATTTTGTAAAATATATACCCATATCTTCTATTTTGTTTGGGCTTTTTAAGCAGGTAAAACTGTATCTCTGTTTTTGGTTTTTTAAATCAACATTATTAAGATAAAATTCCTGTAGAAGAAATCACCTACTTAAAGTGTAAGCTATATATTTTTTAAAGGAAGATCTCAGATTTTTAAAGAATAATCTGACTTTTAAAATTGTAATAATAGACTTGTATAACTATGTCAGATTTTATACTTAACAAACTGTAAAAATTGAACTGTTACAGTATCTTGACCTATGAACTTGATCTCCCAGGTAGGACATTTGCACCTGGTGGTGTGCTGGGCTCTGCTTATATGAGGATGAGAGACCCAACAATTAAATTTTCAGTAGCTTTGCAAGGTAGTTAACATCATAAAATTAACAATAATAGGAGTATTTACAGTGAAGAAATCTGCTTCCAAATCAAAGCTTTTTAATGGTTTTTTCTTAGAGATGATTTCTTAGCACCAACTAAAAAGAAACAGTTATAAAATCAGCTAATGTTAATCCCCAGTGGATTAACAAAGCATCTCTGGTATATAAGGAGAAAATATTTAAGCTTTTAATTATTTTTTTAATTTTTATTTTATATCTGTTTCATTATATTTTTAAAATTTGCCTTTGCATTTATCATGTACATGTGTTCAGTGCCACATGTATATGATTTGTCTGAATGAATGAATAAATGAGTGTGTGTGTGTGCGCGCGCGTTTTCAGCCCAAAGCAGTTTCTACTCAGAGGCTCAAATCTCAGTATTATGTAATTATTTCTGTGCTGTGAATCCTAACCTCTATGATGTTAATGAGGTAAGATTTGAGGCAGTTATGTGATGATGTAATCATCCCACATGATATGATCAACCAATCAGTTGTAATGGGATTATGGTGGGATATAACACTTTTATTGGGGTCATAGCTTTGATCTCATGTAAGGGGAATTTCCTTGGGTGTATACCTTTTGTTTTACCAGAGATAAAAGTAGAGAGAAACCTGATGGGAAAGGAAGGTACAGAAATATCTATAACTAAGAGATACAGAAAGTCCTTCTCTAGAGCTGGCATCCTGAATTTGCATGTGTGGTGTTATAAACTGCAAGAATAGATTTGTTAAAGCCATCGACTTGCACCATATCTTTTGTGCTAAAACAGCATAATTAAGACATGCGTTTGAACATATATTTTTCTAAGCAACCTTTTATTAATATTTTAACTTATAAATGTAGAGGCTTAGGATTTATCTGCTAAGAATGAAAGTTCTTTCTGGTGTACTTCTTAAAGATTTATAAGGTATTTTAGGTAGAGGGGCTCTCAGGCCAAATATGTATCAGTTTTCTGACAGAAAGCTTTCTTCTCCCCTGCCCCCCAAATAGGATACTTAAAAGGAACACCTCATACCCTTAGAAATCTCTATTAAAGCATAAGCTGCCATGAATCACATGGCTAGTCTGTCTTTATTTTACCTGAATAATTAGTTGAAGTTGATTCACTCTTTGACTTGTTTAGGCCTGTGTTGCAGAGAGCTCTTTGTTTTCTGGTATAATTAGCATTTTTCTAAACCAGCATTTTAGAGTAAATATGCCTTTAGTTTTTAGCCATTCAGTAGATAACAGCTGAAATTTCATATAACTCACTCTGATGTGTAGTGTGTGTTGTGCTACTATCAGATGCCCTGAGGATGTCTCTTGTTTTTAAAATCCACCCATAACTACTAGAGAGAAAGATGGGTAGTGTCCTCCCATTAAGATTTACAGACTTGAAAACCCAATGAAGGTTTGCTATGAACCTAAATGGCCTCGGCATCAATTAGTTGAATAAGACATACTTAAAAGAGTTCTTGTTATATAGTGCTTAATATATTGAACTACTAACTGAAAGCTTGGCTGTTCAAATTCACCTGCCACTTCACAGGGGAAAGTTAATATCCTCCTGTGATTTACAGCCTCAGAAACTAGATAATGGATCTGTATGAGATGGAATCAACTCTACAGGAATGTGTGAATTATAACTGACCATGGCTAATGCTGAGAAGATTGGGAATACCAAAACTTTTAATCTTGTTCAATGAAACTTCCACCTAAACCAAGAAGCAGCTGTCTGAACAGAGCAAGGGAACACTTAATGGCTCAAAATCAATAAAAGTATGCATCAGGGCTGTATCCTTTTTCTATACCTGTTCAGTCTATATGTTGATTAAATAATTTGAGAAACTAGATTCTGTAAAGAAAAATGTGGCATCAAGATTGGAAGAAGACTCATCAGCAACCCACATTAAGCAGATGACACATCGTTGCTTGCTGAAAGTGAGGAGGACTTGAAACACTTGCCACAAAAGATCAAAGGCTACAGCCTTCAATGTGGATTGCATCCAAATATCAAGAAGACAAAAATCCTTACCACTGGGCCAGTAGGCAACATCATAATAAATAGGGAAAAGATTAAAATTGGCAACTATTTCATCTTGGATCCACAATCAGCATCCTTGGTACCAACCATCAGGAGATCAGGAGATGTATTACATTGGGCAAGCTCATTGTCAGGGACCTTTAGAAATTGTTGTTGTTGTTGTTATTAAGTGCTATGGAGTTGAGAACAAAAGATCTGAATCCTATTTTATAACCATTGTTGTTCCTCTACTGTTCATAGAGTTTCCAAAGGCTTGTTGTTTAAGAAGTAGATGCCAATTATACTTTCAAGCCAGTCTTAATCTGGGAGCTTTGCCAAACCCTGTCCACCATGTGTCACCATTTTGACATTTGACACACCAGTGGCACAGTGTTTAGTATCACAGCAACCATAAGTTATTCAGTACAGCAAACTGACAGACAAGTGCTGTACTGCTTACAACAATGTCTTTCTCAAACACAGTTAACAGCAAACCCAAGGCTGAAGGGCCCTACCAACTTTTAAGTATGAAGGCCCACCCAGCAGGCCCTGATTGATTTAAACAAGAGACTTCCAGCCCACAGCTGATTGTTGACTAAATCCACATGACCAATTAGGTTATACATGATTGTTAAAAAATGACCCAACCGTTTGCACCTGACTTTCAACAAAATAAAAACAACCTACCGGCCAGAATCCAACTGCTTCACCCATGAGCCTCCAAACTGGAGACTAGTCCAACTGACTTTTAAATGCAAAGACTTGGAGGCTTATGTGTGAACCAGTTGGATTCTGGATGATAGGTTCTTGTTTAGAAGCTCTCCAAATTACTAGGAGCAGCAGTGTTAGTTTGAAGACTAAGGTGTGCCTGATTTAAGCTATGGTCTTTTCAGTCACTTGATATGCATCTGAGAACTGGACAGTGAATAAGGATAACAGAAGAAGAATTGATGCTTTTGAATTATGTATGGTATTGGAGAAGAGTACTAAATATCCCAAGAACTGCCAAAAAACCAGACAGATATGTCTTGGGGAAAGTACAGACGAGTACTTCATGGAGGCAAGGATGACAAAGCTCTATCTCACATATTTTGGGCATGTTGCTAGGAGAGTCTTACTCCTTTGAAAAGGACCCCATCCTTGGAGATGAGTGAAAGAGAGAAAGACCCTCAATGAAGTAGATTGACACAGTGACTGCAACAGTGGACTCAAGTGTGTCAGAGATGATGAGGGTGGCACAGGATAGGACAGAGTTCTGATCTGTTGTTCACAGGGTTGTTATGAGTTGCCCTTGACACAACACCACCTAACAACTCTAGGCATAGGTAGTACCACTGAGGAAGAAAGATGTGGAGGTGTGTTCTCATAAATATCAGCCCTTAATAGCTCTGTGGAGTACAGTTCTAAGTCAGATCAGTTCCACAGCACTAGCTTTTTAATATGTGAAAAAAGAGTGGCAAGAGAAGCAGTTGAAAATTGTCTCATCTTGCCACCAGAAGCTCTGCTGGAGAAGGAGGGGGCAATCTCCTCCCATACCAGTCAGATCTGATTTGACGGTACACGTAAAAAAAATAATACAATAAAAATAAAAAGGAGGGAGGGAGGGAGGGAGGGAGGGAAGGAAGGAAGGAAGGAAGGAAGGAAGGAAGGAAGGAAGGAAGGGAAGGAGGGAGGGAGGGAAGGAGGGAGGGAGGGAAGGAAGGAAGGAAGATTGTCTCATCTTGAACCTATAAATTTATTTCCTTACTACACCACTGGACCAATTGGCAGCATCACGATGGATGGTGAAGAGATTAAGATTGTTAACAACTTTAGTCTGCTTAGCTCCACGGTCAATACTCTTGGCACCAGCAGCCAGGAAATAAAAAAAAACATATTGCAATGGGAAAGTCTGCTGTTAAGGACCTCTCCAGGGTACTGAAGAGCAAAAGGTCTCTCTGTAGACTAAGGTGCGTCTGATACAGGCCATGGTCTTTGCAATCACTTGTTATGCATCGGAGAGTTGGACAATGACTAGGGAGGATAGGAGAATTGATGCCTTTGAGCTGTGGTGCTGGAGAAGAGTATTGAATATACCATGGACTGCTAAGAAAACAAACAGATTCACCCTGAAGAGGGTTAAAGCAGGCTGCTCCTTGGAGGCAAGGATTCTGGGGCTTCCTCTGACATACTTTGGACATGTTGTAGGAGAGACAGGTCCCTAAAGAGGGACATCATGCTTGGGAGGGTGGAGGGACAGTGCAGAAGGGAAAGACCCTCTATGAGGTGGATTGATTCAGTGACTGGGGTAATCGAGATGGGTGTGTCAGAGGCAGTGCAATTGGCACAGGACAGAGGAAGGTTTAGGGCTGTTGTACATAGGGTCGCTATGAGTCGCAAGCGACTCGACAGCACATAACAACAACAACGTTAACTTCTTCAATATAGTTTGAAAATTGTAATTTGTGGCAGTGATACATTCTTAACTTAGACAAAAGAGTTTTTAAAAAATGTATGACAGTAGAACTGTGAAGAAACTTCTGAACATTATTTTAAAATTACTGCTCTTTGTGCAACATTAGAGCATTGTCGAAGGAACATCCATGCTAGACTAGCTGGGTTATTGGCCAGATAAACTGACTCTTACTTATTCTTTTCTTAGAGTCTATCATGACCACACAGAACTTTAATAGTCAGTGAAAGATTGTTAAAGATTGATCCTCGAAACTCCTGCTCTGCGTGGCATTATGTAAAGTCAATGTCCATGAAAGGTGCAGTAAAGAAATCAGATGACATACTGCATTGGGCATATCTACAGCAACAGACCTCTTTAAAGTGTTAGAAGCAGAGATGTCTTTCATGACTGAGGTTCACCTGATAGAGCCATGTTTTCAGTTGCCTCATGTGCATGCAAAAGATAGACAGTAAATAAGAAAGACCAAAAGAAAAATTGATGTGTTTGAATTATGGTATTGGTGAAGACTATTTAGTATACTCTGGACTTCCAGAAGAACAAACAAAACTGATTTGGAAAGAGTGCAGCCACAGTGTTCCTTAAAAACAAAGATGGATAAGAGAGTTCTGGTGGCCTAGTGGCAAGAAGCTGCACAACAATCCCAGATGTGCCTGGTTCGAATCCACCAGATGCTCTACTGGAGAAGGAGGGACAATCTCCTCCTGTACCTGTCAGATCTGATTTGATGGTACAATGCACAAAAAATAATAAAATAAAAAAATTTTTTTAAAAAAGCAAAAATGTCAAATCATTGTCTTACATACTTTGGACACATTCTCAGGAAGGACCAGTCTTTCGAAAAGGGCATCATGCTAAGTAAAGTAGAAAGAGTGTCAGCATGAGAGAAGACCCTCACTGAGGTGACAGACACAGTTGCTCAAACATAAACATGATTATGAGGGTGTACATGGCTGTACAGTGTTTTGTTTCTGTGTCGGAGCCTTCTGGGTAACCACAATGTCAGAGTCATGTGAGAATCTTATTAACATGTAAATTCTGATTGAACTAGAGTAGAGCCCAAGAGTCTGCATTCCCAACAGGCTCCTACACAATGATGCTGCTGCTAGTCCACAGAGCACACTTTGAGTAGCAAGAATCCAGATTTTTCATAAAAATAACACGGATATTATCAAGCTTATCAGTTTAACTAGTTTCTGAAATGTTCATAACTTCATTAGTAGTTTTTCTCATTTAGGAAGCCTCATTAAATGCTGTGGTAAATTACAGTCCTTTCCTACCAGACTAATAGAGAATTATTTTTCAATAGGTAATGGAGACCAAAAATATGTTGTACCTTGTGACTGAATATGCCAAAAATGGAGAAATATTTGGTAAGCTTTTTTCTTTCTGTTAATTCTTTTGCTTGTTTAAGAATTGATAATATGAAGTAGATATTTTAAAGCACTAAGATATTTTTAAAAAATACAGTAAGTTAAAAATTATGGAATATATTTATTATGGTGTTGGAAAAGAATTCTGAATGTTTCATGGACTGACAAAAGAGCAAACAGTCTGTCTTGTTTACAACCAGGATGTCCTTTAAAGGCAAGAATGGTGAAACTTGTTCTCACATAACTTTGGACATGTTATCAGGAGGGACCAGTCCTTAAAAGAAGCTATCATGCTAGGAAAAGTGAGGGAGAAGATATACTGTCAACGGTGACTGTAACAATGGGCTTGAGCATGTGGGATGTGGTCAGGGTGTTGCAGGATTGGGTAAGGTTCAGATCGGTTGTCTATAGGGTAACTATATAGCAACAACAATTAATTATATTTCCAATAGTGAAATAACTTCATTCCTTTTTATTTAAGAGGCTGACAAATTAAAAAAGCAGAGAGGGATGCTGTCTTATTTTATGGGCTCTTTTCTTTTCTCTTTTTACTTTTCCCCCCAGGGAAACAAATACTCATTGAGTTCCTGTGTCTCAAATATTGTGCAAGGTATTGGGGATACAAAACCTAAAATATAAACCAAGCTCACTGTTGTTTAGTCATTCATAGTGACCCTGTAGGATAGAGAAGGTTAAAAATGCCCCCATAAGGTTTTCTGATTTGTAAATTTCATGGAAGTGGACTGCCACTTCTGTCCTCAGTGGAGTGGCTGGTAAGTTTGAACTGCCAGACTTTTGATTATCAGCCAACTACTTTAACCACTTTTTACCAGGGCTTATTATTGGAGGTATAATGTTGGCTTAAATAAACACTGCCATTGTGGATCTTATAATTTAGTAGGATGTGAGCTACCTATCAGGAAGCTCTGGTGGGTAGTCCTTAGAGAGTTACACTGTTAGCCCAGAGGTCACATCTGTCTAGTGGTTCAAATCTTCCAGCAGCTCTGGAGGAGAAAGAGGGACAGTCTTTCCCCATGCAGTTTACAGCCTTAGAAACCCAGTGGAGGTTCAGCTTTGAGTCTCTTCCAGCTCAGGGGCAGTGAGTTTGGGCCTAACATACCTGTACGACCCCTTGAACATTCATTTCTTTTACTTTGCATTAACTCACTGCCTTAAAGTTGGTTTAGCTACCCTCCATCAGGTTTCTAAGATTTATAGGAGGAGACCGCTGACATTTTTCCCTTGGAACTACAGGTGGATTGAAGCTGTTGACCTTTGTGTTATGTTATGTACTAGGAGACCAGTGCTCTTAGTTTTTAAAGGCTGCATTGATAAAGAATTTATATACAATAAGGTATACATATTCACAGTACAAATTTAATAAATTTTGACACATACACTTATCTATAAAGCCAAAGTCTGTTTTACCTCCACTACCGAATACCCTTCCACAGGCAACTGTTGGTCTATTTCTGTCACTATAGATGACTTCGTAGCTTCTAGAGGTTTATATAAATGTAATTATATAATATGTAGCCTCTTTATGTCAAGCTTTTCCTTAGCATAGTCATTTTGAATTTTTTGTCGCACGCATTGAGATACAATTTCTTTTTATTGCAAATAATATTTTTATATGGAAATACTATAATTTGTTTATTCATAATTTGAATTGGTTTCAATTTTTGGGTATTATGCATAAGTTACTATGAATATTCATGTACAAGTTTTTAGTTTATCACAGTCTACCTTCAAGTACTATTTGGTATTTTCTATGTACTATTAGAATCTTCTACTAGTGATACTTCTATTTTGCCCCCATTTTACAAGATGTTCTTGTGGTACTATGATTATGGCATTTAACTGCTAAACAGTAAGTGTGTGGTTTAAAGCTACCAGTTGCCCCATGGAAAGAGATGAGGCATTTGGTATACAGCCTTGGAAATCCTGTGGGGCAGTTTGGTTCTGTCCTACAAGGAAGGTTTCTGTGGATTAGAATCAGCTCCAAGTAGTGGATTTGGGTTTTTAATTTTGAGCCTTTTTGCTCTGTTGTCATGTCTTTTATCTATTTTATCATTTACTAGTATTGTTATTTTAGTTTCAGTTCAGTTATCTTTTTAAAAAGATTCTGATACTAAGGGGTGAAAGCCATAGTTACCAATACAGTTACCATTTCTATATTCTTTTGTGTAGATGTATATTATCACCTCTGTCATTTTTTCTTTTGCCTGAAGCATTTTCTTTTGCAGTTTATGTCTGCTGTCTGCTGGTGATGAAACCTTTTAGCTTTTGTGTGTCTAAAATAATATAGTCTTTGTTTTGTCTTCATTTTTTCGAAGATATTTCCATTGGATATAGAATTCCAGATTGACAGTGGTTTTCTCTTAGTGGTTTTAAAGATGTTCTCATGTACATTGTTTTTGACAGGAAATATGTTACTATCATTTTCTCTGTTCATGTGTATACAATGTGATTTTTACTGATTGCTTTAAAGATTGTCTATGTATTACTGGTTTTCACAATTTGATTATGATATGCCTTCATTTTACTTTTTTCGTGACACTTCTGTTTTTAGTTCATTGAACTTGCTTTGAAATATATAATGTAGTTGTATAGATGGGGGAATTTCTGGAGGTGATCTAGAAAGAGAGAGAACAAGAAATAAAGAGACAGTGGGAGAGGAAAGTAAATGCAAAATCCCTGAAGCAGCAGTGTGATGTGCTCAAAGAGTTGTCGGCAGGACAATACAGCAGAGAGAAGCAAGGAAGAGGGAAAAGCAGAAGTGAAAAAGGGAGAAGAATGGTAGGAGCTGGTATCAGAAAATTAAGTGAGAAGCAGGAATTGGGGAGATCGTGTGACTTTGTGAGAAAGATGGGAAATCTCTTCTCTGATTTACAGCCTCTGAAAACCTACTGAAACATCATTTATGAGTCCGTCCCAATTCATTAAGTTTGAGGTATTTTTTTGTTTTGTACCATTGAGAGGACTTTGTCCATGCCTTGTATAAAATTGAGGGACTGGCAGAAAGGTGACATAAGTTACTTTCATGTTTTAAAGGCATCACTCTTGCTGCCATTTTGAGACTAGATTGTAGTGAGCATGGGTGGAGATAGAAGACCAGAAAGATGCACTTGCTGTAGTCTACGTGAGAGGCCATGAAGGCGCAGAGGAGAGAGGGAGCAGTGTAGATAGATAATGAGTAAGGAGAGGTTTGATCCAGAATATACTTTGAAGGTAGAATTAATAGGGGGTTTTGACAGATTAGGACTACCTCAGTAGTGCATATAGTTGGGGAAGAGACCAAAGTCTCACCTCCTTAGGCAGTTAAGCATTTAAAAATGTGAAACTAAGAGAAACCAGCAAAAGAAAAAAAAAAGAAAATGAGATGAGAGGAAAAGTCAGAATAGAAGGTCCCGGAAACCAGGTGAGAAAAGTGTTCTCAGGAGGAAGCAGTGAATACTTGTGTCAGATGCTGCTGGTGTTTCAGTAAAGATGAGGATGACAGCCATTGTTTTTGGCAGTTGGTAAGATCTATTCTGATGAAGCTAAACAGTGGCTAACTCTGAGAAGAATGGGAACCCCAGAACACTTGATTGTGCTTGTGTGAAACCTATACTTGGACCAGGAGGCAGTTGTGCAGAGTTGAACAGAGCAAAGAAACACTTCATGGTACCAAATCAGGAAAGGTGTATACCAGGGATGCATTCTAACTTCATACCTTTTCAATTTATGCGGAACAGATCATCCATGAGGCTGGGCTCTATGAGGAGGAATGTGGCATCAGAATTGGAGGAAGACTCATCAACCACTTGCATTATGCAGATAACACAGCCTTACTTGCTGAAACTGAGACGGACTTGAGGCATTTTCTGGAGAAGATGAAGTACTGTAGCTTTCAATATGGATTGAAGCTCAACATCAAGAAAGCAAAGATTCTCACCACTGGGCTGGTTGGCAGCATGATGATAGATGGTGAATATATGGAGATTGTTAACAGTTTTAGTTTGCTTGGTTCCACAATCAACATTCGTGGTACCAGCAGCCAGGAAATCAAAACACAAATTCCACTGGGAAAATCTGCTGTCAGAGACCTCTTCAGAATACTGAAGAGCAGTAGTGTCACTCTGGAGACTAAGATGCACCTGATCCAGACCATGGTCTTCACAATTACTTGCTGTGTGTCACAAAGCTGGACAGTGACTAAAGATGATAGAAGAAGAATTGACGACTGAGTTGTAGTGCTGGAGAAGAGTATTTAATATACCATAGACCACACCCTCTATGAGGTGGATTGATTCAGTGACTGGGGTAATCGGGATGGGTGTGTCAGAGGCAATGCGATTGGCACAGGATAGAGCAGGTTTTAGGGCTGTTGTACATAGGGTCGCTATGAGTCACAAATGATTCGATGGCACATAACAACACCACCAGGAGAACAAACAGGTTCATCTTGGAGAGGGTGAAACTAGGCTGCTTCTTGGAAGCAAGGATTCTGAAGCTCCGTGTGACACACTTTGGGCATGTTGCAAAAAGGGACCAGTCCTTGGAGAGGGATATCGTGCTTGGAAAGGTGGATGAACAGTGTAAGAGAGGAATACTCTCAATGAGATGGATTGAGTCAGTGTCTAGGGTAACGGAGATAGGTGTGTCAGAACTAATGAGGTTGGCTCAAAATAAAGCAGGGTTCTGAGCTCTTGTACGTAAGGTCACTGTGAGTTGCAAGCACCTTGAAGACACATGACAACAACTGAAAGCTAAATTGAAGATAGGTACATCTTGCTTGAAAAGATAGAGGGTCAGCAAAGAAGAGGAAGACTCCCAATGAGATGGATTGACACTGTGACATCAGTGATGGGCTCTAATGTCTCAGAGATGATGAGGATGGCACATGATAGCACTCTTACAGGTTGGTCTTTCGTAGAATCCCTGTGAGTCAAATTCAACTTCATGAAACAAAAAGAAGAGCAAGGACAAGAATGAACAAGAGCAAATAAAAAATGGAA